TGTGTGTTCAAACGTGGCGAGTACGTGAACGCATACTTGTGAACCAGCGACGTGGCGTGCACGCGAACGTATACTCGTAGACCGTCGACGTGGCGTGCACATGAATGTATACTTGTGCATCAGCGACGTGGCGTGCACATGAATGTATACTAGTGCATCAGCGACGTGGCGTGCACGTGAACGTATACTTGTGCACCAGCGACGTGGCATGCACGTAAAATGTGAATGGGAGGCGTTAAAGAGGTCCTCAAAGAGAATTATGTATGAACAACAGGAGCCACCCACCCAGCCCTTGACCGAAATGTTATGCACCTCTCCCCTCGACATCTAACAATACAAGAGGGAGGAAGGATAAAGAAAAGTAAAAGGATACAATGTCTGTCGGCGTGTTTACATGTCTGTCTGGTTAACTTCGTGTATGCGTGTGTGCATGCCCGTCTGCTCGTACATTTTTCCTTTTCTCTGTCCTTGTGTCTTTTTGTCTTCCCTCGAAGCATATGTGCGTACACACACGCACGCGCGCGCACACACAGACAGACAGACACACACACACATACGCACACATACACACACTCACACGTGCACACACATACACACACGTATATATATATAATATAGAGCACTCGTAGGAAGGAAAAAATACCAGTCTCGCTGTAGTCGAGTGCGTGCGGAACCTTTCCCCCTTGGCCTTCTCAAATGGTGCGCCCCATGGTGAACCGGAGTTGGAATAGCGTAAGGCAGAGCTCACAGTCTCAGATACCGAACTACACAGTCTATAGTATATAGTCTACAGTCGATGTATGGTTCCGAGCCTCAGCTATGTTACTACTTTTACTGGAAACTCTGTGGTTGAACATTGTGTCTTTGGGAAAGGCACTTTGCATGAAGTTTCCCTTTTGGCTTCGTCCTTTCGGAGATGGATGTTAAACTCGGAGGTTCCGCCTCTTAAATAACTTTGAAGTGTTGATAGGGTCGCTATACCGTTTCACCATTACAAAAAAGAGGTTTGTATGTGTACTCACCTTCCACGGCTGTCCTTCCAACCTTTGCCCCAGTTGACAAAACGTGCTATGTACGGCTTTTGCTCAGCGTGCGTTTCTGGGGAACCTTGGATAAAAGTTAAAAGAAGAGATCGTTTTGGGGATCGAGGATACAATGTGTGTGTGTGTGTGTGTGTGTGTGTGTGTGTGTGTGTGTGTGTGTGTGTTCAAACGTGGCGAGTACGTGAACGCATACTTGTGAACCAGCGACGTGGCGTGCACGCGAACGTATACTCGTAGACCGTCGACGTGGCGTGCACATGAATGTATACTTGTGCATCAGCGACGTGGCGTGCACATGAATGTATACTAGTGCATCAGCGACGTGGCGTGCACGTGAACGTATACTTGTGCACCAGCGACGTGGCATGCACGTAAAATGTGAATGGGAGGCGTTAAAGAGGTCCTCAAAGAGAATTATGTATGAACAACAGGAGCCACCCACCCAGCCCTTGACCGAAATGTTATGCACCTCTCCCCTCGACATCTAACAATACAAGAGGGAGGAAGGATAAAGAAAAGTAAAAGGATACAATGTCTGTCGGCGTGTTTACATGTCTGTCTGGTTAACTTCGTGTATGCGTGTGTGCATGCCCGTCTGCTCGTATATTTTTCCTTTTCTCTGTCCTTGTGTCTTTTTGTCTTCCCTCGAAGCATATGTGCGTACACACACGCACGCGCGCGCACACACAGACAGACAGACACACACACACATACGCACACATACACACACTCACACGTGCACACACATACACACACGTATATATATATAATATAGAGCACTCGTAGGAAGGAAAAAATACCAGTCCCGCCGTGGTCGAGTTCGTGCGGAACCTTTCCCCCTTGGCCTTCTCAAATGGTGCGCCCCATGGTGAACCGGAGTTGGAATAGCGTAAGGCAGGAGCCACCCACCCAGCCCTTGACCGAAATGTTATGCACCTCTCCCCTCGACATCTAACAATACAAGAGGGAGGAAGGATAAAGAAAAGTAAAAGGATACAATGTCTGTCGGCGTGTTCACATGTCTGTCTGGTTAACTTCGTGTATGCGTGTTGTGCCTCTATAAGACGGCCACCTGTACAAACGGACACTTTCCATTCCCCCCCTTGCGTTTTTTCTATATAATTTAACTGTGTAAAACGGGCACCTGTCCAACGCGGCCGCGGCCACCATATTTCAACACACAACCCCTATCACACAAAGCAATAACACCTGTCTTAGACGGCCACCTTAGTGACTCCAATACGTTTTGTCATAAATCAAGCGTTGGCCCCTGGCTATACGTTCTTATACTATCTCTGACCGTCTCGCCCCTGGCGTTGTAGGCGAACCGTCATAATCTAAAAACCTGTCGTTGTTAGGTAGTCCCTCCAACTGATCATGTTGCGTAGGCCCCTCCCACTGTTGACCAATAGGTAACAAAATTAATTTTCAGCTGCTGGGGAGGTAACCGTGTGATCCCTCATAACCCATAAGCCCCGCCCAGAGCCCTTACACAAATCGCAAGTGAGATGAGTGGTCACTGTTTACTCAGTCTGTAACAAAGTAACAATGGACGTCAGCATGAACTTGTGACAGAGGCGTCGCTTGTTCTCCGAGTGGTAGTACGTATGTTTGTTTGTTTTACCATAGCACTTGGTCCTCCTTGTCTGACACATTTCGTTTTATTGTCACTACAAAAGCAGCAACAAAAGAAAAGAAAACTTAGCGAAAACAACAGCAACAATGCAACTACCTTCGATTGGGACTTCAGAAAGGAAGGGTTTCTTTTCTCAGAAAGGAATGGTTTATTTTCTTCATCTTGATCAGTCCTGCCTAAGACGGCCACCTGTCTTATACGGCCATTTTCTCCTTGACAATGGGTGGCCGTCTTACACAGGTTCGACTGTATATATATATATATATATATATATATATATATATATATATATATATATATATATATATATATATATATATATATATATATATATATGTATATATATATAATACACACACACAAACACACACTCACACACACGCACGAACACACACACATACACATATATATGCAACGTTTTTGTTGTATTTTTGTTGTTGTTGTTATTGCTGTTACTGTTAACGTTGGTGACATGTGCTTTGTAGTGTAGTGGGCGGTAAGAGGGTGCTCTGGTGTAGTTGCTCCTTCTTTCCTATCAAACATCTATCATCCTTATGTCTCTTCCTTCTTTCTTTTTGTGCTTGTTACTCTCTTGTAACTATGGCCACTTAAAACGACACGAGACCATTGTGAAAACGGTGCTAGAAGGAAAGATGTGGGGCAGGAGATCCAGAGGATGGCAAAGAGTAACATGGGTGGAATACATAAGATCATGGGCTGGCCTGGATATGGCAGAATGTGCAACGGCAGCTAGTGACCGTGAAAGATGGAGGGTCAGTACAAGTCAACCTCCGAGATGACACCTCCAGGTATCCAGGCACTATCTAGTAACTTTTGTAACACCTCTAGTCTTTGGCACTTACATGTCCTAAGTGTATTGCAAGTGCTTTAAAACGTTTACAAGAACACATTTTGTAGAGTGCCTGAGAGACATAATGTCGCTTTTCGCTCGTGTTATTGAGTAAAAAAACAACAACCCACAACGACAAGATATACATGGGATGTTAGTTAGTCCAGGGTAAAAGCAACATAGACAATCCCCCCCCCCCAACAACAAAACCAAATCCACCCCTCCAAAAAAACCCAACCCCAAACAAAACTACACAAATACACACATACACACACATACACGCACAAACACAAACACACACACACACAAACACACACACACACACAAAACGGGTATAGGAAAGAAGAATCTTACAGAGGCGCCCTCTGACCCCAGACTCACTATTAATATATCAAAAACAAAACAAATTTAAACGAACAAGAACAAACAGGACAGGACAGTCGCCTTTCGCAGAAGAACTGGAAGAGTCAAAGACACCAGTGCCCCCATTGATCGCCTGCTGGATAACTCACTGAGACCGCTTCTAAAGTGTGTTTCAAGAGTCACAAAAACATCACCCTCACACTCTCCCTCCCCTCTAAAAAAGTATTCTATATCAAAACCATAAAAAAACCCAACAAGCACGTGTGGCAATAACAGATTACACACCGTAATATGTACATGCAAAAGTGATACGTTTTATGCACATATTTGACAATCCAAATCCCACCCCAGTGAAAACTGAAACCAAGGCAATATGACGCACACGATATGTGTTGACATTCTCCGAAAATATCTTCCCTACATGACGTAAGCGGCATCTCACAGTGTCGGATGTGTGTGTGTGTGTGTGGTGGGGTG